AAGGTGTCAATCCATATCTGCCAAGTGACCCGATGTAGGGGGACCAGTCCCTATTCTGCTCTGTGTCAGTGTGTACCAGGGAACCTTAGGACAGGTGTCAATCCATATCTGCCAAGTGACCCGATGTAGGGGAACAGTCCCTATTCTGCTCTGTGTCAGTGTGTATCAGGGATCCTTAGGACAGGTGTCAATCCATATCTGCCAAGTGACCCTATGTAGGGGGACCAGTCTCTAATTCTGCTCTGTGTCCGTGTGCATCAGGGGCTCTGAGGACAGGTGTCAATCCATATGTCAAGGTGTCAATATGTCTTATGTCAGGTGTCAATCCATATTGATTGTGATTTAGGAATGTTAGGTGATTTCTGCCCTTTATGGATTAAAACCAGACTCTGTATCAACTGTGTAATTTTCCATGGGAGTTTTGCCATGGATCCCCCTCCGGCATGCCACAGTCAGGTGTTAGTCCCCTTGAAACAACTTTTCCATCCCTATTGTGGCCAGAAAGAGTCCCTGTGTGTTTTAAAATTCGCCTCCCCATTGAAGTCAATGGCGTTTCGGGCGGTTCGCCGGTTCGCGAACATTTGCGGAAGTTCGCGTTCGCCGTTCGCGAACCGAAAATTTCGGGTTCGCGACATCACTAATCTTAACATGTATAGCTTGGAGGAAAGACGAGACAGGGGGATATGATAGAAACATTTAAATACATAAAGGGAATCAACACAGTAAAGGAGGAGACTATATTTAAAAGAAGAAAAACTACCACAACAAGAGAACATAGTCTTAAATTAGAGGGATGAAACAAATAAAAATACAATTTGTGGCGCTAGAATAAATAGCAGCTAGAACACACTAGTGAGTACAATCACAATAAACCCACAGAAACATAAATATACAAAAACAGAAAAAGTGTGCAACGCATATACCAGACCCACAAGTCTTACAGAGATATAAACACAATCAGTGAATATGTGATAATAGAAGAGGAGATAAATACCCCAAATTTTTTTCAATCTTTGAGGGTCATAAACATTTGCCAGATCCTGTATAAAAGCTGGTTCAAGTGATGTCATTTTAAGATGACTCAATTCAAATCTTGAGGTTACTCCCAGAGATAAAGCTTGGACAGTAATGTTGCTTGGCACAACTTTTCCTTGGTCCTACTGGGCACCGAGCCTGCCTCAATGCCAGCTGACTTATCCTAACTATAAGATAAGGCCAGGGACTAGTGAACGTATTTAGAAAATTGGGCAGACTAGATGGGCCGAATGGTTCTTATCTGCCGTCACATTCTATGTTTCTGAAATCGGACACTCGACTGCCCGAACACCGGTCAAACTGAACGAACATCTGCTTCCTATTCCTGAACAGCTAGGAGAGCGCTGTTCAGTAGTTTGGTTCACACAAACCAGGGGAACAATTGCTACTATGAGTCAGAGGGTTCCATTCGTGTATTTGTTCGGGTTTTGTGACTTAGACCGAAATAGACCGACCGCAGTCTTTTCACATGGAACTGTTCTGGGCAGGAACCTTGTGTGTGGTCGGTCAAATGGGACTTCCATGAAATTTGAAACCCCTGATCTGGGTGATTTTTGGATATGTTGGTCACCACGATCAGGGCTATCAGGGGCTGTGACATTTATGGGGTTCCTGTATGTTTTTGGGTGTTTTCTAAGTTTTGGGAAAATTATGTTCCCTCTGCCTGGAGATAATTAAGTTATTACTTTATCTGACCCAATTATCTCCAGGCAGAGAGGAGGGAATTAACTGTTTGTATTGGGAGTGTAACTGTTTGTTCCTAATTTTCCAGGTACAAAATGAAAAAAATTATGGAACATTTTAGTTATGAAGAAAGGATAAAAAATTTAATTCTGTTTGGTTTAGAAAAATGGCGCCTCAGAGGGGATTTGATAACATTATACAAATACTTTCAGGGCCAACACAAACCATTGTCTGGTAATCTTTTGATAAACAGGACTATACATAGAACATGAGGTCACACACAATTGCGGGCAGTTCATTTTTATTTATGGTTCAGTAACCAAACAAAATCCCGATTTTCCCCTTTTATACCCCCATAATCAGACCACCTCATGACTTGTTAAACCTGTTGACCTCTCTGACACCTCATTAATTCATCAACACCTCGTTAACTCAAGTGTTCTGCTGGGTGGCCTTGTGGTACGAAAGCAGACAGCAGTGTTCGGACGTTGAGTGCATGGAACTAAAATCGAAAAGATTAACTCGCGAACACCGCTGAACTTATATCATTGCCTGCTTTTTTTTTTCAAACGTCTCAGTAGAGTGCTCTTCGGGCAAAGTGTTCACATGACTTAAGGAACAATTGCTCCATGGAACCAGAACCGAGCACACATTTGTACGAATGAGGGAACTCCCAAACAGAGATCGGCCACAACCTATTTCACTCTGGAAGTCTTTTGGGCTACGACCAGGTGGCCGGTCGATCAAAACTTTACCCAGGTGGCGTTCCTGTTTTATCGAACGGATCTGAGTGCTATTTGGACATCTTGGGTGCTCGGATCCAGGCTCTCCGGGGATATAGGGCTTGTGGGGGTTCCTGGAAAAACTGCATGTATTTTGGGGGGTTTTCTGTGTGAAAGATAATTGAGTTACTGGTCTTGAACTCAATTATCTCCCACAGGGATGCCAGGGAGGAGTTTGCATTGAACTGTATGGAGACCCCCAGCTGGGGGTCTGTGCATAAATTGCGTGTTCCATTCTCCATTAAACCAGTTTACTCCCAGCACTAAGTCTCGGGAAAAATGTCTGTGGGAAAAAGCTATAATCACACACCTTGCTCTTAATCACTCAGCAGCTATAATCACTCAGCAGCTGTAATCACTCAGCAGCTGTAATCACTGGATCCAGCACAGTAGAGCTCCAAAGATGGGGGGAAAGGACATCCTTGGCGGCGAGACTCATGTCCCTATCCGGGTGGCCGCCACTCACCTTCTTTTGGATCGACAGCAAAAACAGATGTAAGGAAGGCTGAACTTGATGAACACATGTCTCTTTTCAGCCTATATAACTAAGTAAACACATTGTGCTGTAAGATTTTTTGAAAATGAACTCTTTTTTCGTGGAGGCTGTTTGAGCTGCAGCCAAGAGACAAGAGGGTAGAGATGCATAAACAAAGTGATTTAGCTCATAAATTGTGTAAATCAGAGAGACTACATGGTCTTGCTCTATATACCAAAGCCAGTTAGCAAAGAGCTTTAATGACTCTCGATACCTCTATTGCACAATGTACTTACCTTAAAGTGTACGGTTCTAATATGCTTTTGGTATTGTGTATATATTACTCTACATAATACAGTTTTGATATTGTCACTGTATAAATAAAAAATTAATTGACAAAAAAGTCTATCATGCAATATATAGAAATTAAGTATAATTGAGGTTGAAAATCACATGAGTTTATGCCAAATTTAAAATTAGAGGGACACTGTAGGCGCTAAACAACTTTATCTTACTGAGCTTGTTGTAATGCTTGGAGCCTTCTCCCAGATCCAAATTTCTAAATCCAATATTAAATTAATTACAAGGCTTGGAACTGCAAATTCATGCAATGCCTCCAAGCCCCCTTCCCGACTCTCATACTGTAACATACGATGATGTCACGCGTGCATGTGCATTGCCATCTCTGTCAGACATAGACAATCACTGGATACAATAGTTGCATAGTTACATAGGCATAAAAGGGACAAGTGTCCATCAAGCTCAGCCTTTTCTTGCTTCTGTTTTTGCTGTTCCAAAAAAAGGCAAAAAAATAACAGTTGGAAACACCTCCAATTTTGGAACAAACTAGGAAAATTGTCTTCTTGACCTCATAATGGCAGCCATATTTATCATTAGATCAATAACCTATTGCAAAATACAAAATACAAAATAGAAGGTCAGAGCTAATTAACACAGAATTATTGGGTAGGCAATGGCCCCAGCAAAGGGAGAACAAGAAGAACAAAAGAAAAGGGAAGGGCTGTGCCACAGGTAAACACTAATAGTACAACTTATTTGGCACAAAAGCAGAAATAGGTCTGGTGCAAAAGTCTCGCAAAGAAAGTTTCTATAATCTAAAGATGAAAAAGTCAGTGCTTGATCCTCAATTCAACTGACAATAGATCATATGGAAGACAAAAGACAGAGATAGGTGATAGTGTAGCTTGTTGAGTACAGTCTTTTATATAGGGAAAAGGTAAGGATGGGACACTAACATTTGGAAGAGCTATAGCCAGCTCTAGCAGTATAGGCGTACAGCGGTATAATCCCCGCTTTAAAGGATAAACGGCAACTGTCAACCATGTTCACACCAAGATGATATAAAAGACAGGAAACAGGAGCAGGTTATAGTGCAGACTGTACAATTCAATGACATAAAAGTATAAGATAACAATTGAACACTTACATTTAGAAGAGCTATAGCCAGCTCTAGCGGTATGGGCGTACAGCGGTATAATCCCCGCTTTAAAGGATATGCAGCAAATGTCCACCACGTCCACACACTCAGGAAGGAATAAAAAAGGCAACAGATAGTGCTCTCAATAAAATAGAGTAATCTCTAATATAATGAAGTAAAATTATACTTACAAGGATAGAGCAGGCTGACTGCTCTATGCACACAGCATTGGTGGTATTATCCCCACCTTGGGATTACTTGAAGTATAAAACTTAAAATTACCAGGGAAAGTGCATATAACAAAGGAGATTAGCACAAAAACGTGACCAAAAAACCTTTGATAAGTTAAAATACACAAAATTAAATGTCCATAACGCGTTTCACCATTACAGGCTTTCTCAAAGGGAGTAAAACAATAAACCTGGCTTTAGGAGTTTATATAGGGATAAGAATTGGTGCCAAAATTAGCATTATCCAATCGGAGTTCAACATATTTAAAAACATTTTAAAAGTACATAAAAGGTATTAAATTGTATTCTTAGTGTAGTACATAGGTAAAATATCATGAATTTTACACAAAACTAGGGTTCCATTAAGTGAAAATAGCATTGGGAAGTTGGTCACGTGATGTGAGTGTGTAATTGGTCGCAATGCTACATGGGATATGTAGTAAATGATTACAGAGCCGATGTGGATGTCGTCGGCCATATTGTGAAGGGTAAGAGGAAAATTGCGGCGGCCATATTGTGAAGATCAAATAGTGGCCGAAAATAGTGGTCGCCATGTTGGGGAGGTCTTTTTGACAAGGTTCCTATTAGGTGGAAGATAAACTAGCTACAAATGATGGTGGCTGTATTGGGGTGGGCAAGGGGAGATTACAGCTCCATTGGCAGATTGGTGCAGATAGAGACAATGAATATATTAATACAGGAAATAATTTACATAAATACAAACAATAGACAGGAATAAATAATATAAAAGGAGAGTATTAGGATATTAAAATGGATAGATATAAAATATAAAACTACTGATATCTATTAAAAAATTAAACAAATCAAAGTCTGCATTTAGACCACAAGGGGTTAGCGTTTGTAAATTATATACCCATTCCAAGAACATATTAATCAACAAATTAAAACTTATATCCCTGAATTTTATGTTTTTTGCAAGTATGCATCCAATTGATGTTTAAACATCTGTACAGACTCAATAAAACCACTTCTTAGGGCAAGAATTCCACATTCTTAATGTTATTACTGTAAAAACTCTTTCCTTTGCCTTAGACTAAATCTCCTTTGTTCCAGTGTAAATGCATGTCCTATGTATAGTCCTGTTTATGATTAGATTTCCAGACAATGGATTGTATAACCCTGAATATATTTATATAATGCTATTCATATGCCCTCTGAGGCACCGTTTTTCTAAACTAAAGAAGTTTAAATTTGTTAACTATTTCTTCATAACAAGTGTGCTCGATTCCTTTTATTAATTTTGTAGTTTGCCTCTGCACGTTTTCAACTGCCATAATATCTTTCTTTAGAATAGGTGCCAAAAATTGCACAGCATTCAAGATGTGGTCCTACCAGTGATTTAAAAAGAGGCAAAATTATATTCTCGTCTCTAGAATTAATGCTCCTTTTTATATATAACAATGATTGTCTATGGAGGAATGTTTAGTTCCCTTTATTACTGAATATGTGTCAAAAAGAATATGTTTTTATAGAATGGATTTGTGTTTAACTTCTGTTATAAGATTTTAGTCAATATTAATTAAACACCAAATTTGAAAACCAAATTGCTCAATTTTGGCAAAAAGTACTGATTTGGAAAACATCTCCAATTCAGCTATAGTCACACTTTGGATTTTTTTTGTCTAAAATGTACAATTCCGTTTTAACTCACTGTAATCCATTGTTCAGTAAAATAATTCATTTGTTTTACATTTAATTCTTTTGAATAAATATTTACTTTACTAACGTAAAAGCTGTAATATAAGTCTTGATTCACTTTGAAAGCATTTTTCATTTCATACTTTACGTCACTGCCCAGCATACCATAAACACATTAGCATAAAGCAACTATACAAACTTCATATATCAGTGAAAGTCCCCTGAAATAATTATTTTGATGTATAACTTTATGCCAAATGCCGATATGCTAATGAATATACAAGTAATGTTCTTTGGTATTTAAAACGAAATCTCGCATAAGTCATATTCCAGTTTGTGTACGAGTGTTTAAACATGTAAACTGTTTGAATAAAATATTTATTAAGTGAGTGGATTAATTAATTTACCACAGTTAGTATTTTATTTTTGTGGCAGAATATCCTCCAAGTTGTTAAGTTATGATTTATCTTGCTATGGAAGGATTGAAAACCACACATTACAACCTTATCAAGACAATATCACTTTTATACAAAGCACATTGCATGAAATGACAATGACCATCAATGATCCCTTCCAGCCACACAATCAATGGCTATTTTTTGCAGACATCATTTATTGCAGAATAAATTAAAACAGCAATGAGAAACATATCTGATTAACTCTGAAATCTGGCTAAATTACTTTCTAAAACCCTTATATAGTGGAGCCTTTCTCAAATTCTTAATGTGTGCAAATTCTTTCTCAAAGTCTTCAATATGATTAAGTGATAAAAAGGTCCTTTTTCACTTAATCGTATTTCAAACTATAGCAACTGTTGGATCTGCGTGTTCAATAAAGGCACATAGACAAAAGTTCATCTAACTTTGAAGTTATTTTGTGGCCCATTTTAAGTTTAGAAATTACATCTTCACTTTCCAAAACAGGTAAAGCAAAAACAGATGTCAATCTGCTAAAGAACTACGGCTTTAATTGTGCTTTGACAGACCCAATGTGCATTTAATACAAGTCAAACTTGAATATATTACTATTCAGTCCTCACTTCACACCATAGACATTGATTTTTTAATTGGTATCTTTTACTGATATTCTCAAGGAGATAGCTATCTAATAAAATGAAAAAAATAAGTAAATATAATAAATATTTTAACAAATGCCATTTTTGAAAGGTCTCATTCACACCTCCTTATCTTCTGGTTCCATGTGTTCATCTTCACACACACAAAAAAAACCCCAGAATATAACTGTTATAGACAGTGATGCACATAATAATAAGCCTCAATCTATACCATACTGCATTTTAAACTAATTTGAACAAGGATTTATTGCATAACTCAAACCAAAAGCACCAAGTAAAAAGAAATGTGAATAGCATTTGAGTTTTCATTGCAAACACAATCTGCATATTTACACAGATTGGTCAAATGAAAATTGCCTCTCCACAAAAAAATATGTAATAAACAAAACAAAAATGTTTGTTTACTCATTAAACAAACTCATTAAAGTTATTATATGTTGCATTATATAATAGTTAATAGTTAGACTCTCTTATACACTATAATTGTATTGTATATTTTATTTTTATGTGATTTATGGTTACCTTTATCAGATAAATATGTTCTCCCTTGAGACTTTCAGGTAAGTGGACCATTCTTGTATGTATCTTGTATATATTTTTAAATGCTGGATTTAAAATACACAAAATTAATCCAGGTTAAGCCATGTTTATAACCGTGTTTAAGATGAAAATAATAATTTGCATTGCATTGGTATTATGCTGAATTGCATGTAGCATGCACCTGACCCCGGAGGCTCAAGTTAACAGAGTTCATGATCCCAAAAGTAACTTAAATGTCATCAGGGTGCATAGGCCTCTGTTTTTAACAGAATGGGCTGCCAGTTGTTCAAATCCTCATTTTCCATTGGATGCAAAGAAAGCATTAATGATGCAAGAATTATCTGTCCCTCTGCTTAGTCTTGCCACTAACCCCCACCAGTCTAGTTCCACCCATTGGATCAGCAAGCAACTTGTTATGCTTTCCATGGATTTGAAGTGGAACTCAACTGCAGAAATAAAGTTAGGAAAACCCTTTAGGTTTTTTAGATTAATAATTAGGACAGAAAGATTAGTTCTTCAATAAGGTTTTATTTAGAAGTGATTGTTGAGAACAATTCCTGTTATTTGAAGAATACAATATGAATATAATTTGATGAGATGAATTCAATGAGAAGGGTTCCTGTAGTCTTAAGGAACATGATATGTACACAGTTTGAAGAGTAGAGTTCCTGTAGTTTTAAGGGAACACTATGATGATAGTTTGAGAAGAAGAGTTCCTGTAGCTTTAATGAATACAATATAGATAAAGTTAGATGAGAAGAGTTACTGTAGCTTTAAGGAACGAGACATGCAGATAAAGTGATATGATGAGTTCCTGTTGCTTTAAGGAATACAATATGAAGATAGTTCGATGAGGAGAGTTCCTATTGCTTTAAGGAATACAATATGAAGACAATTTGATGAAGTGAGTTCCTTAAGCGTTAAGGAATGAAGGTAGTTTGGTGAGATGAGTTCCTGAAGCTTTAAGGAATACAATGTGAAGATAGTAGATGAGATGAGTTCCTGTAGCTTTAAGGAATACAATATGAAGATAGTAGATGAGATGAATTCCTGTAGCTTTAAGGAATACAAGATTACGATAGTAGATGAGATGAGTTCCTGTAGCTTTAAGGAATATGTTTCTGCAGCTTAAGGAATGAAGACAGTTTGATGAGATGAGTTCCTGCAGCTTTAAGGAATACAATATGAAGGTACTAGGTGAGATAAGTTCCTGTAGCTTTAAGGAATGAAGACAGTTTGATTAAATAAGTTCCTGCAGCTTAAGGAATGAATATAGTTTGATGATATGAGTTCCTGCAGCTTTTAAGGAATGCAATATTTAGATAGTAGATGAGATGAGTTCATGTATGGAATACAAAGATAGCTTTCCAGTGAACAGAACTCAGGAGTAGAGTTGAGCGAACCCGAACATTACGGTTTTTGTACCTCGGACCCGAACACGGACATATCACTGTATGTTCGGGTTGCAGTTCGGTGTTGGGCGATTTAATGATGCATTTTGAAAGGCTGCAGGGCAGCCAATCAACAAGCGTTTGACTCGTGTGCCCTTAGAAGCCATCACAGCCATGCCTACTAATGGCATGGCTGTGATTGGCCAGTGCAGTATGTGACCCAGCCTCTATATATAAACTGGAGTCGTGTAGCGCCGCACGCACATGAGCTCCTATTAGTGTAGGGAGAGGATGCTGCCGCTTTCTTGGACAGATTAGGAAAGAATTCTGCAAACTAGTACATTAGTGGGGTGCACTTCATATCTGAGAGTCAAATAGAAGCGTCAAATACTGCTGTCACATTGCAGTTTTAAAACTTAAAATTTCTTGGGTGCTAAAAAGTACATTAGTGGGGTGCACTTCATATCTGAGAGTCAAATAGAAGCGTCAAATAGTGCACTTACAGCGCAGTTGTAAACATTCTAATTGTTTTGCTGCTAAACTGCTAAATAGTACATTTGCGGCCTGGGGTGCATTTCTTGCAGTCCAATAAACTAAAAAAAAAAAAAAAAATAAGAATTGTTGACTATTGGCGGTTACATTGTTGCCTGACATAAAACATCTGTTAGTTTGGTGGGTGAACGCAAAGAATGTGGAGAGCGCCAAATAAGGGTCTTGGCCCTGGTCGTGGTGCTGCTGGTGTTGGTGAAGCTCCTGTTGCAAGGAGAGGACGTGGTTGATCTGTGCCAGCTACACGCACAAGTGAAACACCGTCCTCATGTGCAAGTACGCGACAGAACCTTCAGCGTTATTTGGTAGGCCCGAATGCCTCTCTATGAATGGTGAGGCCAGAACAAGTACAGGCAATAGCAGATTGGATGG